TTCCTGTCTTCAATACTCCTTTAAATAACTTAATCAAAGGCAATTTCTCTTTATAGATACTGGGCCCTTCTAATGTGCAAATATGCTTTGGAACATACCCATTTACTTTCAAGCAAACCCATGAGTCATTTTTTGAAAATCATATTTTTAGGTAAGAAATAAATGTAGTTTTAAGAAAAGTGTTGACATTTTATTTACATACAGTCCACATATGACTACAAAAGCTTTGGTTGATATCTTAACAATTTTCAAAATAAAACTTTAGTAATACCTTTTCTTTAAAGGGTGGAGGGCAATAGAATCTTAGCACTTAATGAATCCCTACCATGAGTCAGAGTCAATGCTGGGTATACCATATAATTTAATTTAAACACATTTCACCTTTAGGTGATTCTGCGAATCTTCTCTTATTTCTTTTTTCTCCCCTCTCTCGGACACTAATATAGTTCTTATGCTCTACATTCCAGAAAAAGTAGGGCTGTGATATGGGCAGAAGAGCTTCACAGAGGCAGGAAATGGAAGGACAGCCTTAATCAGACAATGGTGGCTTACAACTCACAGGCTAAGCACAGAAAAATGCCTACTATGTTCCTCTCTATATTTCCAAACACACACCCATCTCCAATACACAGAAAACATAAACATCTCCCAGGTACTTGCTGCACTCAGCACACAAATCTGGGTCCATATTCACCCATTGGAAACAACCCTGGATAGGAGCTTAAATCTCATCTCTGCTGTTTGTTAGCAGCGTGGCTTTAGGCAAATCCTTTAACCTCTTTGAGCTTTGGTTTTTTCATTATTAAAATGTAGGCTGTAACACCTACCTCATAGGGAGTTTGGGAGATCAAGTGGTATAAAGTAGGTGAAATATTTTTAACCATTATCACAACTCCATTAAGGCAAATGAAATTTGTACTTTACAGAGGAGAAAACAGGTTTAAAGAAACTAACTGATTTACCCAAGGCCACACAGGAAGTAACCAGAGACGGCAGCAGGTAATCCCACCTGATTCCAAACATTCGGAGGTACTTTTTTCCCCCATGGCACGGATAAATTCCATTTCCCTTGCTACCCTCTCTTTTGGGCTCTCAGACATGGAAAGGCTTTCCAGTAATTGCTCTTCTATCCCCACTGATCTCAGGGCCTTTGCTACTCACAGCCACATGGAGTTAACCATATGGGCCAAATGTGGTAGGTACTTGGTTTGCTGGCAATAAGAATGTCATCAAAGCATCTGTGAGTCAGAAAAGGAGACAGGATTTGGAAAGCTCATGACAGCATGTGGCACACCACTGGACTAACAGCCTGACGGACGAGAATGAGGTGTAGGGGACTGACTGGTAAGGGACCAGGTAGATCTCTGTTTTGAAATTTCATTTTTCCTGTTATTACTGACCCCAAATAATGAGGCCTCTTATGTATGCAGATTCTGTTTTCACCCTTGGAGCTTAAGTTCCAGTAGGGGCATCACAGAGGGGTATGTGTGGCCCGGTGCCATGGGTTATACTTAACAGGAGACACAGAGGGCTGACTCCCAACCACCAGGGCCTTTAAATGGCCAGGGCCAGACGAAAGCCAGTGACTTTCAGGAAGACGATAAGAAGCTGTCCATCTTTTTTTTTTTTTTTTTTAATGTCAGGTAAAAATCCTTTCTACCAACAGGAATCCGGACCCTTTTTCTCATCATCATGAACTTCCAACTGAAGGTGGAGGCTGAGTGAAGGGGGCGAGCCACTGAGAAGGCGACAGGAAGCCCTAAAGCTGAGAGACCTGGATATTTCTGTACAATCAGGTTTTGTTTCCAGTTAAATTAGTTCTGTCCGTCAACATCCTGTTTGGTGTGCTCCTGTCTGACCCGCTGATAATTAAGTCACAATGCTAATTGATTTTATGATTGGATCACACAGGGTGAGGCTTTTCCATTAATTTGTATTCATCAATTCCAGTAAATGACGGTATTGACTATCCCATGAAAACTCACTATCAGCCTAATACTTTTTTCCTAGTACTTTGAGTTCACCTTGGAAACTCAGGTTTAGTCTGGATCCTATATCCTGAGGAAATAAGAAACAGACCCTTTATCCCAAGGAAAAGCTCCACTGGGAATACAGAAGTGGGGACATGTTCTGCAATGTGTGTTTCCATCACACTTGTCTCTCAGCCCCACAGTCATCCATCTAAACTCAGCTTGGGCGGTGCGGGGGGCGGAAGGGGGGCTGGGACCCTACAAATACTGTTTCCTCTGCCATCCGGCTCCCGGATGCGCCAGCAGGGGGTGCTAGAGGGAGCCGGCGAGGCAGGAGGTCGGAGAAGGCACTTGCCGCGTCCTGATCCCGTCAGCCTCAGGGCGGCCGATGTTGGTTCGGTTCCCAGCTTCCCTCACGCTCCCGGAAGTAGCCTCGTCACACCTGAGAGAAGCGAGCACCGGCAGAGCAGCGCGTTCCCTCAGAGGCCTCAGTTCTCGCTGCTCGGGCCTCCTTGAGCCTCCAGCAAGAGGGGGAACCCCAACGTGGTCTTCATTTGGCTCTCCCAACCTTGGGGATGGCGGTGGCTTCCTGTGCCCTCCACCATGTTCCTGTTCACCTCTTCTGTCCTCCAACACCTGTCCTATTGACTTCTTACGTTAAATTAGCTAAAAATAACTTCTGTGCTTTCTACTTTGCTGACTCATACAGCGTATTTGAGAGCCACAACTTCTTTTATAACCGTGGTTAAAAGAGCAGACTCTAAATTCAGCCACACCTGAATGGAAATCCCCATCCATTTATACCTGGTAACTTCGGAAAATTTAATTGACCTCTCTAGGTCTCATTTTCCTCAATCATTCCTTTATTCAATTAACATTTATTAAGAACCAACTAAGTTACAGGCACTGTGCTGGGCAGTAGAAATACAATGTTATGCAAAATAGTTAAATTCCTTGACCTCCTAGAACCTGCTGTCATGTGAATCAAATGAGATAACACAGGTAAGGTACATGTCATCAGCCTTCCTCTCCATACCAAGCTGGCAAAGACAAAAGGGTCTGAAGAAAAAAGTTGTTTCAACAGCTAAGTCTCTTCAGAAAATGAGATGGGGGGAGCCTGGGTGGCTCAGTTGGTTAAGTGACTGCCTTCGGCTCAGGTCATGATCCTGGAGTCCCGGGATCAAGTCCCGCATCGGGCTCCCTGCTCAGCAGGGAGTCTGCTCCTCCCTCTGACTCCCCCCTCTTGAGCTCTATCTATCTCATTCTCTCTCTCAAATAAATAAATAAAATCTTAAAAAAAAAAAAAGAAAAAGAAAATGAGATGGGGGTCTTTTCCTCAACAAGGTGGAAGGTCTCGGTTAATATAACCCCATGGATTCACTGTATGCCCTGTCCACTCGTCCAGTTCGGAGCAGAGAAGCAATGACCTTACAGTAACAATCTTCAGAAGGAAATGAAACAAACAGCCCTAGGGAGGGAACACTATGAGGTGGCATTTTTTAGAAATTCTAAGGAGACGGGTACCTGTGATAAAATGCGAGCTGTCATGTGGGGCTAGGACTAGGGCCTGGAGTGACTGTGACCATAGGGCACAAGTGGAAAAAGGTAGTAGAGAGCTGCTCTTCCAACTGTAGTCACCACAAGAGTCTTCTTACCCTAAAGTGTATATTGTACGTGTGTACGTATGAACCAGAACTTAATTTCTGTTTCCTGCGGTAGGACAGCACACACCTCCAGAGGCCAGGGAGGTGATGACATGAAAGAAAGATTCCTGATTCCATTTAAGTCTGAATCCAAAAGCGCCCGGCTGTGGGCAAGGAAAAGCTGGGAAGAAATCCAATCTCCACATTTTGACACAATCTGTCCTTAGTCTTCTGCCGTCTAGATATTGGGCGGATTAACGGGTAGGCTCCATAACTCAGTGGTTAGAGCACTGGCCTTGTAGATACTGGGCAGATTATGGCAAGGATGGCCATGTCCTTGTTATAAGTATTTCTGCAAGACTACTGTGTAGCTAAATTCTTGAAAGCCATATCTGTAACACACTGATAGCCTATAAATGCAAATTAAACTCTTCACCCTCAGTTTTTTATTCATTTTGACATCACTATGACCATGAAAAGTCATACTGAAGGAAAACAACCATGGGAAACTATTACTAGAAGGTCTATTTCACATCCCTGCGCCAGGGCCTCATTACAACTAATTTACTGTCACTGAAGGAATTTAGAGGCCCTGAAGACATGAAAAGCCCGGAGAGAGTTTTACTCGTAAATAAATGCCAACATTTAAACCATCAAGACAGCTTCAAATTCTAGGACTATTGAAATGGGTAATATTTACTGCCTGGATGATTTATCATCCTTGTGTTTATAGTCCAAATGGGAAGATAATTCAATTCCACCTTAAGAGTCATTATGTGCCCAAACCCCAAGGGAAGTACTTTGGATAAGAGGTGATATTTCTCAGCTTTTCCATTTCAAACAAATTATTATTTCTGTATTTAAGACATCACCCAGGCAATTCCCTTCATGACTTGTAGCACTCTTGAGCAATTAAAAACATTGCAGAAGGTGAAAGAAGTCGGGGACAAATGCCAAATCCAAAATGATCCACAGAACACCGAAGAACCCCCAGAGAGCACAGTTGCCTCAGACATAAGGTGAAATCATCCCTTCTGCTCAGGAAGACTAAATGAGCGGTGAGCATGCATCCAGCAAGCACATTATCACCCAGCAGAGACAACTTGATAAATACAGACTTCCTCTCCAAACAAGCCTCCTCACAGGGAATGTGGGCAAAAAGGTCCCTTCTGAGGAGATGGTGAAGTATCACTTGGCAAAATGTCTTCATTGTGGTACACGGCAGCGTTCCCTCTTATCCCCTTACCACACATTCAGTTCAATTAGAGGGTGGAAGAACCTGTTTGCTACATGTCTTGGATTTGGCAGGGGACATGCTCAGAGGGGACAAGGGCAGAGAGGCCCTGGCCTGTGGGATCAGGCCCCCAGAATTCCTGGGCTTACATACCATCCAGGCCATTGTGATGACTGTAGTTTCTTTTCCCCAAAATGCTCAGAGACGTGTGATTCGGGGTGGTTAGCATCCGCTTGGTAGTGGGGGTTTGCAGGCTTGGTGTAGATCGAATTACATTAGGTTTCTTCGAAGGATGGATCTCTGGCAGGGGGAGAAAAGGTTTCTCAACTCAGAACACGGTATTAAAAATCTCTGTGTGCACTTACATTGCCTAATAGGCACACATCTTACTTCTTAATGAGCTGAGAGTCAGTTCCTTATGAGCCAGCCTGTTTTCCCAACGACTTGCATAATGAATCAACTTCAAGTGCTGTTACCATGGCTTTACTTATCAGAAGTGAGCTGCTGCTTCCTCTGCTAGCTGGAGCTCTGAGCTTCATGTTGGGAGGACAAGCAACAAAAACAACAACAAAACGCCACTTGCACTTCAGAAGGTCACTCGAGCACAGATTTACTAAGGGAATAAGGCAACTAACTCTTCAAGGTTTTACGGAATTTAAAGGTTATCTGGAGAAGATATAGCATGCAGCATGTCTCGGGTGTGAGAGATTTCTGGAAACAGGATTCTTCCTCTGGCTCTGCAAGGAGGGTATAGGACCAGGGTTAATCTCTCCCAGGTACAGAACATTTTGATGTAGATGAAACCTGACACCAAATGCCAAATTCTAGACTCAAGATGTAGTAGAAGAAAAGCTTTGATGGAGGATATATCACAAAACGGTGCCGTGCACGTGGGATATGTGTGTTTACATGCAGTATGTTGTTGTCAGCCACATAGCCTAGAATTACTTGCACTTTTTGGATAAAGCAGATGGACAGAAATTGCAGTCTGTAGCAACTGGATTTAAGGATTGCAGTCCGTTACTATTATTGGGCAATGTCTTGTCCAAAGCTAAACCTGCCCCCTGATTCTGAGTCACCACCTGTGCATGAGCCACCCTGTCTTCTCAGGGAAGGGCCAGGATATCAGCTTCATTGTCCGAAATTTAGGAAAGGCTGTTAGGATTGTTAGAATTACTATATCCTAGTCTGGTCAAAATTCTACACTTGCCAAAATTTAGGAACAGATCAAGTGCTAACCAGTATATAGTGCTGATTTTCTTTTTCCAACATGGCACTGAAACTTCGCCAACCCCATTTTTCATTACAGCCTCCACACTACGCTCCATCCAAACCATACCACCTGCCTTTGGACTCATGAAAGCCTTTGTTCATCAAGTTCTCTTGGCCTCATAAAGGGAAAAATATTGTTTTCCTATTTTTCTATCTATCTACTACTTATCATTCAAGGTTGAGATCAAATACTGCTTTCTCCATGTAGGCTGCCCTAAATCTCATCAGAAATAACTATTCTTTCCTCCAAGTGTCCAATGAATATTACCTGTAATCCTTTTATAGGAGCTAATCCTTTGCTTAGTTGTCCTTACCTGTGTGCTTTCCCCACTAGACTGAAACTTTTGAGGGCAAAGTCTTATTCATCTTGGCATTCCTCCAAATCACTTAGCACAGTGTCTTGTATGTAGTAAATACTCAGAAATATGTTAGGTAGGGATGTGGTTCAGCTAGTAAGAACAGCACATCTTTGGGCTTACCTGGGAGGCACAGACACCAATTTATCCGCAGGAGGAACACACAATTACCCATGGAAAGACTGACTAATATGCACTGTTATATTCTATTTCTTATGATCAGAGACTTGTCCTTGCATGGTGGGAAGGGGCTTGGAGGATTAGGTCCTGCAAGGGCATACAGATAGCAAACTTCAAGGACTTGATCACCATGACCTACCCAGGTCCTGCCTATGATAATGAGGTAATATTCTGGGGGCTATCAAAGCAATTCTTTAGGCCCTGAGAAATAAAACAAGAAATCAGGCGACCAAGTAAAATCAAAGAGGGAGCTGTGAGCTTCTGACTCTTGGATGCTCTGATGAGAACCAGATAATATACCAAGTTCAAGGCTACACTTCGATGTTTAAGTGTGTCTGGAGTCTGAACACTTCATAACTGTCTACCTTTCTGACAGAGCAATAAGGTTCAATGCAACTTTGAGTACATCTTTCACTTTTACTGAGAAAATGAAAAAGCAAGAATATTAGAAGCATTAACAACATGCCAGTGTATAGCTTCCAGGTATAGTAGGAACCATTTTAGGAATGATTATTTTGTAAATTATCTTAAAACTTTGCAAAAACCCAAAAAAGTGTTATTGCCTAGTGATTTTTAAAAATAATCTTCTTAATTATGATATTTCAACACATATATGGAGCCATTATCTTTGGCGAAGTCCAAGTTAAGTAAGACGGTAAAAACCAGAAAGCAATACAAATGCTCCCCTTTCAAAGTAACCTTAATTGGTACATCAAAACTATAAATATTCTTTTAAAGACAGGTTAGAACGAGTTTTATCTCATTAAAAAAAAATAAGCCAAGTGGAAGGATCTAAATCAAAACATTAAGAATATTCATCCTCTAATAATCTAGTGATTCTTACTTTCTTCTTTTTGCTCAGTCTGTATTTATATCCATAAATATACGTTACATTTTTATTGATTTTTTTTGAAAAAGCAAACATATCTATAACCTTGTGTATATCTTGTGTATATCCATAACCTTGTGTATATTTTGTGTGTATAAAGCTTCTAAAACAAAATAAGTTGACTATACATGTGAAAGTATCCAATTTCAGCTACTTGAAAGGGTTAGATTTAGTTTAAGTATGAAAATTTAGAGTAGCCAAATACTTGTAAGATACAAAGATCGTTCTTTGAAATTTTCCTATTAGAAAATACCCACCTAAATACCCAATGATACATGCCAAAGGTTTCCTAGTGCTTTTGCTTTTCAGTGGACTTCCAGATAGCTCGGCATGTCTGTCTGCATCTGAGGAGAGAAGGAAACATGGAGACAACCAATGAGGCTGATTTCTCTACCTATTCTACACACACTGCAGAGACAAAAGGTGCCGGTGGAAGACAGCGCAAAATATCCACCAGACTCCTGCACAATTTCCTGTGGGGTTTAAGAAAATCGTTTCTAGTTCTGGTTCCAAATTACTAAATGAAGGAGGTACCTGGAGAACACTCACTTTAAAGCATCATGAGTGCAGCTAATATATATCTTGCCCACACTTTCTTTCTGTGTGTGCCCATCTGAAAAGCGGTGGAAACATGCTACCTTCCTAGCCATGGCATTGCTTTCTCATAGAAAAACTTCCATGCAGAATGAGGTGAGTCAGTCCTAACGTAAGATTCATCTGGCGGAGAAGACAAAAATGACAAAGCGGACAAAGGCAATACACTTGGCCATCCCTGACCTAATGGGAGTGAGTCTCCACTGAGAAGTCTTCATCTATCTTGACTAAACTCAGTTCCATTAGACGAGAGCCTCACAAGGGTAAACATGGGTCATCGGTTTTAGCGCTCATTTTCCATCCTTCACATCCTACTATGATGTCAGTGGTGCTGAGCTGTAAAAGGTTGCCTGTATGTAGAGAGTGTCTCATCCATTAGTCAGAACAGTAAAATACTGTGGGAATGGCTGTTAGTGTTCATAAAGTTCCCCTCACACGCCTCATACCCTACCATAAGACACTTCTGACAGAGAAAAATAAGGCATATAACACACACACACTCTGCGTTTTAATTAGTTGTCATTAGGATGGAAGAGTGGATGTGGAACAGGGCTGCTCTCAGACCGAGGAGCTAAGTTACAAAAATAGAGTTTGAAGGGAGAAAAAAAAAGTGTATTGAAATGTTTTTTAAATCTGCAGATATTGTCATAAAACTTAAAGAGTACTTTTAGCAGATATTTTGCTACATGTATGCCTTTTCCCCACCTTCCAGTACTCGACAAAAATGCCCTACTGGTTTTCTGAGGCTGAGACCACATTTCTAGGCATACATACAGGAAATTTCCTTTGACATCCACAAGAATTCTCTCTGCACTATTAGTGTTAAAATATACAATTCACTCTGGAACCACAAATCATTTAAAATTAAAAATTAACTTTTTCATAAGCTCTAGCTTTCTCTTTCACCAAGGAAACTATTTTAACTATTAAACGGAAAGAGGTGGGCAAATAGCATTTGAAAAGAAAACGTCTAAAATAAACAAAGCACATACTGCAGAGAGCCTCAGATAATAGGAATCAGAATATGTATCCTAAGTGCTGGCTAATTATTATACAACCACGGACAACTATAAATGATCTGATTTCTTTTCCTCCTTACTCAGCTGATTTCCTTTGGGAAAAAAATTACTGAGATATGAAGTTTTTCACTTGTTGTTGAGTAACAATGAAGATAAAGGAAGAAATATACCAAGCATATTTTGGGGGAGTAATCTAAATAAACATTAAAAAGCAACACAAACCAAATCCCTGTCAAATCGCTGTGAGTGGATACTAAATAATTCCTTCCTATTACTAATTCATCTAAAATTCAAGTTCTACTTGGGATGAGGACAAGAGAAAATTTTGTCCTTTCTATTAATGAAAGAAAGCTTGAATGAATCAGCTTGTATGTCCTCCATGTTCTGGACAAAGGCAACCATTGTATTACTAGTAATAAGATTAACTTTGCACTTTATTCCAGTTAATAAGGCCCAAAGGAAAACTGTCAATGTGGTTACAATTGATGGACTCTCCTAGGACTATCACCTTGACAAGAATCAACAAAAGGAAGCCTATCAAAGAGGTCACCAACACAATACCTAAAGATATTTCATTTTAAACCACACTAATCTGCTTTTAATTTCTCATCAAATCAGTAGCATTACTTATGTGATGTTCCAAGTGACAATTTACAGAGCACCTGAGTGGGAGATCAAAGCTCTTTAGAAGCATCACTAATCCCCATTACATTTTAAAGTAGTTGGTGGCAAGAATGATCAGTCTCCGCTATGAGGAAATAAGTGCTAAGGCTACCTAGTCACTGTTTAATATAAAAATTGCATTTATTCAATGATATACACTGAATACGCATGGGAAAAATACCTTCTGCCCTGGGGGAATGATCATACGCATGGGATTATCAGGTCCACATTTGAGTTGGTTAAAAAAAATCTTGGTCTGCACTCAAGAGCAGGCCAGTGGTGCCACTTATCAGTCAAATTATTCACCTAACTCTATTAAAACAGAGATAATTCATTAGTATGCATTAAAAGTGCACAGATAAGGCAAGCAACCTGAGAGATGCCCAAAGATCCCAGAAGGAATCAAAATCTGCCCAGAAAGAGGGAGAACAGGAGCATCTCACCCAAGTCACTTGACTGCACACAGGCGCATTTCTTTGGCTTCCTAGAGTACATCTCCTTGAGGTAAACCTGGAAAAACACTGTTGCTTTCATTGCAACTCACAGCCATTTTTCTACAATGTTTTGGAAATATGTGTGTGTGGGAATAAAATAGAAAAACTGCAAAAAGTACACACTGAATTCAAATTCACAAAAACATTCACATGGGCTTCCAAGATTGCTGTCAAAATAGAACCATCCATAGAATTTTCTTATAGGAATTGCAAAAGCATTTCTAAAGATGACACAAAACCCAGGTGCCATTATAAAAAAAAAAAAAAATCACAGGGGCGCCTTGGTGGTTTAGTCGGTTGAGCATCCGACTCTTGGTTTCTGCTCAGGTCATGACCTCAGGGTCGTGGGATCCAGCCCCATGTTGGGCTCCACACTCAGTGGGGAGTCTGAGATTCTCTCTCTCTCCCTCTCCCCTTCCCTAAAATAAATAAATCTTTTTTAAAAATGATAAATTCGGGGCACCTGGGTGGCTCAGTCGTTAAGCGTCTGCCTTTGGCTCAGGTCATGATCCCAGGGTCCTGGGATCGAGCCCCACATCGGGCTCCAGCCCCGCATCAGGCTCCCTGCTCAGCGGGAAGCCTGCTTCTCCCTCTCCCACTCCCCCTGCTCGTGTTTCCTCTCTCACTGTCTCTCTCTGTCAAATAAATAAATAAAATCTTTGAAAAAAATAAAAATGATAAATTCAACTATGTTTTAAAAAAAATCTGCTTGGGGCACCTGGGTGGCTCAGTTGGTTAAGCAACTGCCTTCGGCTCAGGTCATGATCCCGGGGTCCTGGGATCGAGCCCTGCATCGGGCTCCCTGCTCAGTGGGGAGCCTGCTTCTCCCTCTCCCTCTGCTTGTGTTCTCTCTCTGTCAAATAAACAAATAAATATCTTAAAAAAAAAAAAAATAAAAAAATCTGCTTGACAAATACATCATAAACAAAGTCAAAGGCAAAAGAGGGGAAATATTTGCACCATGTATCACAAATCAAGAGCTAACATCCTTAAAATATAAAACAGTCCTCACAAGTCAGTAAGACTTCTAATAGAAAACAGGCCAGGGGCAAAAACGGCTGACAGGGAAAAACAAATGTTTTTCAAATATATGAGAAGATTTCTATCTCATTCAAAATGCGAAATGCAAACTAATATAACTTACATGTCACCTGTCAACTAGTCAAGGGTTTCAAAGATGGATAACACTGCTGGCAAGATTCTAGAGAAACAGGCATTCTCTAGACACTGTGGGTGGGAACGCAAATCGTGGTTTTTCTAAGGATAACTGGGTACTGACTATTAAAATTCCAAATGCATGTTCCTTGATCTAGATATTTTACCTTTAGGGGTCTGTCCTGTGACCTACCTGCACATTTCACACATCAGCATGAAATGCTATCTGTATAAGGATATTTGTTGCAACAAGAAGACTGGAAATAACCCAAAAATCTGTTTAATAGGGAATTAAAAGTACAAAACATTATTATGCAGCTGATAAGAAAAGGAGGTAGCTCTCAATGTACTGGTATGGAATGGCTTCCAAGATCTGAACTAAAGAAAGCAAGGTGCAGGACAATGTGCACATTAACATCTGTATTAAAACAAAAAAAGAATACACCTACTTAGACCATTATAGATACACAGAGTATCTCTGGCTGCTTTAGACAGGATGACAATGGTTACCTCTGAAGATGGTATGAATGGGAATGGCAATAGGATTTCTAGCCACTTTTGTATCTTTAGAAAAATTTAAAGTATCCATTCAAAAATGAATTTTTATTCAAAACAAACTTCCCCAAATACCCAAACCCAAACTGTTCTCACCTAATATTAGAGCTTAAAATTTCACACAACTTTATACAATTATTAATAGTTAACTTTTGCTGAGAAATCTCTAGAAAAACTCATATTTTAAAGCTTCTGAATGCAGGCCCTTGGGATACTTCCAAAGCTGAATCAGCATCTTCAAACAGAAAAATGTGGCTCCAGGTGCCTCTCAAGGAACTGCGTACTAGGGAATGGTGGTCATTCAAGTCTGGTGTGATCAACTTAGAAACCACGGAGTCACCCATGCAAGCTACAAAGCATATTTTGGGGGAGTCACTTGGACCCACTTCTCCAGACACTTTAGCTTCATCTATGGAGTGCTGCAAACATACCCACTTCTACTTAACCTCAGTTTCTGAGGATCCTGAATCTCAAATAGTAACCCTGTGCTCATTAGGTGTTGGGTGATTTTACAGACGTTTGATAAAGTCATTGGGAAGCTCAGTGGTCATGTCTGACGGCCAGAACAAAGGAAGAACACCATTATCACATCCTGGCTTTTTTTACTGAAGGCAGGGGGAGAAGAGACAGGCTGTCTGAAACTTGACAACCCATGCTACCGGTCTGCAAATTGTGTCAAGGACACAATACCTTTCTTTCTGTGATGTTCTGGTTTTTGATTTACCAATCCATGTTTAATAAGCACTATCTCTGTGGTAGAACAGGCTCAGGCATTGTACTGATGTTAGTTAGTCATTTTTGTAATGGACATATATTTACATATAAAGGCATAGTATTCAAATAGAAATTTGGGGAATTTGGTTTTAAAAAATCACATATATATGTATATATATGTATTTCTTATATGTATATATTTTTCAACACATTGGTCATACTATATACTTAAGTTTTTAAAATTATTTTTTAAAAATAAGAAACGTATTCCCATGGCTCAAAATTGAAAAAGTTTAAAAGGATAAACAGAGGGGAGTCTCCTTCCCACCCCTTTGTCTCAGCCTCCCAGCTTCCCCTCCCAGGGACATTATTTGTTCTTACGTTTTCTCTGTGATACTTTATGGATATATAAAGATTTCCCCTTTTCACTCTACTGTTTTAATACCATTTTCTTAACGAAAATAAAAAAAAAGGCCAGAGAGTACTGTTGTAATAAACAAAAAAAATTCCTCTAAAAGAATCAACTTGTAAGTCAGGCGCTCATAGTTACCATTATGCTCTGCACAATCTGAGATTTTGTCTCCTTAGCTTTTCCCTTCACTCTCACGTAGTCTGTCACCCTGTGAACTCTGGCTAGGACATGATTGTGATGGTGCTGCCAAGGCCAGAAGCCATGGAAGGGGTCAGCTTCTATAGTGCTTAGAACTCTCAAGTTCACAGGGAAAACTACTTACCTTCCTGAACATTATGAAGAATTATTCTAAAATGCATCAGTTAGAGCTCTTGATCCATCAGTTATCTTTGGAATTAGACTTTCATCTCATCTGAACGTACATTCATACTGTATCACAGGGATTAACTTTTTTGAGGAGGGATGGGGGTCACCATTGCCCTTGAGAAACCAAGGAAAGCTTACTAAAAAACAATACACCTATGCATTCCCACTGGACCATAGACACGGTTGCCTACAGACATCAAGTTATTAACAGTTTATCTTCTCCCTAACAAGCCAAGATCAAAGGATCGGCTGAAGAGGTGGTAACAAGGTACATATAAGACAGGAGATGGTGTAAGAATCAATTAGATGCTAGAAGAGTTCATTAGTTGCTTGTCTGAAAAAAAATAACAGTAGATGGCTGTTGAAACTTTGTAATTTTAAATTTCAAGGTAAAATTATTTTGAGAATCTCTTCTATATGTAACTTGACCAAAGGAGAAAATGCAAAATATGCTCCTTGAATCTCATCAAACCAAATGACTCTGTTCTTTTATTACTATTATTATAGCTATATGTTTATAGAAATAAAACACATGTAATTTAACTGACCCCCCCCTTTCTTTAGTAGCATGGCCTTTCAATTGAGGAATAATATATAAAATGAGGTAACAGGAAAAATACACTTCATTGAAGAATAATAAAAATAAAGGCAATTTGCGTATTAACTGAGAAACTAACAGAAGAGCCATGGGAAACAGAAGCTTCCTCAGCTGCCAATTTAGTTGGTGATTTCTTTTCCATTCATAGGAACAAAGATGATACTGGATCCTGGCCAATTTTAATGGAAGAATTTCATTCAATTCTCTTTCTCATATGTTTTATTATCCTGTTTAGTTAAGAAACTATATAAATGTGTTTTAAATCAGCTAAGCGGTTTGGATGAATGCAAATATTTTCCAGTTCCTTAAAATGGTTAAGAAAAGGACAAGAGGGGAGCCTGGGTGGCTCAGTCGTTGAGCGTCTGCCTTCGGCTCAGGTCATGATCCCAGGGTCCTGGGATCGAGCCCCGCATCGGGCTACCTGCTCCACGGGGAAGCCTGCTTCTCCCTCTCCCACTCCCCCTGCTTGTGTTTCCTCTCTTGCTGTGTCTCTCTGTCAAATAAATAAAATACTTAAAAAAAAAAAAAAAGAAAGGATAAGAGCATAAATCCATGAACTCAGAAATGCTAGCATGAAATATCAGTATCAGCCTAAGTTCCAAATACACATGAGTCTAATGGAGCTAAATTCCCCTCCATGGGACTCAGAGAGTACTGCCATTTTCCACTCTCTTTACAAGGCACTTTTCTTCTCCTTATAAAGCTTTTACCTGTAAGTTGTAAAGCCTTTCAACTGTTCTGCTGAAAATTACCTTTAGGGACAAAAAATGATTTTCAATTATCCCTCCTTATATGGATACCCTCCTTAAATCAAAATGGAACATCTCATACCAAGAAATTTCTTTTCTCACACAGAAAAAGCATCTACTAAATGTCTACACGATTTCCCTTCTGTTAAGCCAGACAGCAAGTTTGCTCATCCTTTAAGGGAGAAAGCTGCATGGTTCTAACGTGGAGCCAGGCCTGTGACTAAACATAGCAAGGCTAGAATCAGAGCTAGCACACAAAGTATGGACACATTTGAGGGGTACATGGTAATAACAGAACAACCCACAATTCACTGATACATATGACCTTTGTTCTAACGAAAAAAAAAAAAAAGAAACATAAGCAAGACTGAGCATGTTGAAAATGAGAGTAATAGTCATGTACATGGTATGCAGTAATCTATGTATGATTATGAAATGGAAACCAAATTGGACAAATATAAAGAATGCTCAAACATAAATTTGGTCACTAGCCTATAAAAACTAAATATGTGTTTTCAGAAAATTCACCCAAAGACACTAAAATCCATTTATAATTTGCTCCATCTTCCAATAACTTCCAAAATAGTGTTTGTTATGAAGCACTGTGAATTTCCATTAATATTGTACGACTGTAAAAGGAAAATGAGGGATTTACAAAGACATGCAATTTCTAATTAATGTAAATTGGCAAATTTTATCCAAACCTAATGAAGCCATGTAAGAGCAGGCTGCATGTCTCATCTATGGGGCTTCACCGGGACACCGTCCTTACGGGTTACATCGCGGCACGACCTTACAGGTGAAAAGTGCCTTCCCGTAACGGTTCTCGGGCAATCCCATCACAAGGCCTTCCTGGACAAGGGTGCCTCCCACCGATTCTCTGCTGAGCACTATCCTCTCTGCAGAGGGACTTCCAGTGTTTCCTTTTTAGGTTGGCATGATACAAATGGCAGCAGACAAAAACAATGTTAAAAAAATAAACCAAATAAAAGGCTGTACACAAGAACTTATGTTTATTGCCAACAAAAACAAAAAAACAAACAAAAAAGAGAGACAGGGAAGGAGAGAAAATGGTCAGAAGCACAACACATAAGGTTAAGAATTTAAAAGCATCTTACATTCTGCCCTAATGGCAGCATAATTAATAGGAACAAACGGCCGTCTTGCTGCCTGCCGCAGACGGAGGGTATTTTTGCAGACCTGACGAGCAAATTTTGTGAAATATGTAGTGTGAAGGAAGAAAGCTTGGCGGGTCTTCACTGCAGACTTTGGGCTCCCCGTGTTTCGGACTGGCATCCCCTGCATGGCCTGGCGAGACATGTGACTCCTAACACGGGGGTCCTGCAAAATCAGACACCGATAGACACATAAAGAATAGAATGCTATTGGCATCAGGCTCAAAGAAAAGGCAATTTTTAAGTTTTTCACTGAAGCATCTATAACAATACCCTACCCCTAAAGGAGGAAATTTAGAAGTATGCATTTTGGGGAAGAGGGTAGGGGCGTAGAGAGGGAAACTGGGTAGGGGTGGGAGGGTGTGTGATCCTCTATTTTTGCTTTTTAAGTGTTTCTTTTACTTCCAATTCATTAACACACAATGTTATATTAGTTTTAGGTGTACAATATAGTAACTCAATACTTCCATACATCATCCTGTACTCATCACAACAAGTGCACTCCTTCCTCTATTTTGGTTTTTAAACTGACATTGACCTTGGGCGCCTGGGTGGCTCAGTTGGTTAAGCGACTGCGTTCGGCTCAGGTCATGATCCCGGAGTCCTGGGATCGAGTCCCACATCGGGCTCCCCCTTCTCTGTGGGGAGCCTGCTTCTCCCTCTGCCTCTGCCTGCCACTCCCCCTGCTTGTGCTCACTCTCTCTCTCTCTGTCAAATAAATAAATAAAATCTTTTAAAAAAAAAAAAATAAATAAATTGACATTGACCTTAAGAATCCAAAATCAAGTTCACAATAGTAAAAGAAGTGCCAAGGGGGTTAATTAAACTATTTTATTTTATTTTTTTAGTAGTGAAGGAGTCCTGAGATCCTGTTAGGCCTTAAAAAGAAGTCTCCCTCTGGTCGACATAGGTGCTTCTATCTGCAATCTATGAGGATTTTGCCAAAATTGCATTTCAACTGTTGTTCACCTCAAGATTGAGTCCATACCACCTTCTTTGTCCCTTCTGTGATAGCCCAGGGGCAGAAAAATGTCCAATTCTTATTTATTACTTTATGTAGTAAGACATATTTTTGACAGTATTTAAAGGTTGCAAACTGTTTTCAAAAGAGTAATTAAAACATTTAATTGGTGGGACGCCTGGGTGGCTCAGTCGTTAAGTGTCTGCCTTCAGCTCAGGTCATGATCCCAGAGTCGGGGGATTGGGCCCCGCATCGGGCTCCCTGCTCTGCGGGAAGCCTGCTTCTCCCTCTCCCCCTGCTTGTGTTCCCTCTCTTACTGTGTCTCTCTCTGTCAAATAAATAAAATCTTTAAAAACATTTAATTTGTAAGCTCTCTACTTATGCTAACACTTCCCACACACATTGTTCTTTTGTCTGAGTAATCACACAAGAACAATATTTTGAATACCTGAAAAACTTTGATTTGTCCCTACCCTCTCTCCACACACACCTTAAATATTATGGTGTTATGTTTAGTTATAAAAAAAGTTTTGTGGGGCACCTAGGTGGCTCAGTCGGTTAAGTGTCTGCCTTCAGCTCAGGTCATGATCCCAGGGTCCTGGGATCGAGCCCCACATCGGGCTCCCTGCTCTGTGGGAAGCCTGCCTCTCCCTCTCCCACTCCCCCTGCTTGTGTTCCCTCTCTCAATGTCTCTCTCTCTGTCAAATAAATAAATAAAATCTTAAAAACAAAAACAAAAACAACAGTTTTGCTTGCTTTTAAGTTATCCTGTACTACACTTCTGTTTCCAAGGAGTATCTAGCCATTGAAATGACATTCTTCAACATAAAAGATTATTGCTCATATACCTCTGTAGTTGGGCTGGGAGATAACTTCTCTTCTTCCGATTGGGTGGGCATTTTCAGGCCTCCATATTTTTTCCAATAGAGCCAACAGGTTGCACACAATCTACACTGCATATTAGGTGGACCCCAAGAATACCACTGATGAGATTGTGTAGCTAAAGATAGAGGAAAAATATAGAAAAACAAAGAATGCTATGTAATTTGTAACATCAATACACATACCATTAAATATTTTTAAAATATTCCAAAGTCATCTTTAGTTTACAATGTTATTTTTCTTTCCCCAGTTCACCAAACATAGAAGTCTAATACATGCATGTATTTTTCAAGATTCAGAATTCATTAAACCATTTATTTCTCTCTCTATACACATCGAGTACTTGTGGCTCCTGTTAAAAGAAGCTAATAGATGAAGTATCCTATATAATAAACTGTACTATTACTGAGGGAGTTTTGTTAGTTAAAAATACCCTCTATTGTGTATATTTCTGGAAATAAGTTATCAGAAAGGTATTATTATTGTTAGATTAGTGTTTAAAGTCTAAGTCTAGGTCACCAAATCACTGGTTCAGAAACTACCTCAGAGTTTAAGGTGCTCAGAGAGGCCCCACTGATTAGGGCAGGAATCTGTCAGAAATAGATAACTGTTTTCCATTTCCTTATTTTAATAAATGAACAAAATAATCATTTTAATATTTCTCCCTTTAAAAACAGAATCCCTTTCAAGACTATTTAAGTCCAGGGATGCCTGGGTGGCTCAGTCATTAAGTGTCTGCCTTCGGCTCAGGTCATGATCCTGAGGTCCTGAGATCGAGCCCTGCATCAGGCTCCCTGCTCAGTAGGAAGCCTGTGTCTCCCTCACCCATTCGTCCCCTGCTTGTGCTTGCTCTCTCACTGTGTCTCTCTCTGTCAAATAAATAAAACCTTAAAAAAAAAAAAAGACTATTTAAATCCAGATCCAGTGAGCATATGCAGCCAAGATCACACAATGCTTAGGACCTAATAACCTGGCTGATATATCACTTAGCTAAACAGTGAAAGCCATTGTCAGTTTTGTTCTGCAGTTTGAATTACTGCCATATAACATTTAAAGCATTCCCACAATGGATATGAAGTTTAAGATAGGAAACACTGGCACTGAAACATTAAGTTAACAAGGTACATAAAAATTATAATTCTCTACATTTGCCTTGGAATACTCTTCCCCCTGATTTGTAAGTTACCTTCGTCAGGTCAAAATGTTCAAACAGTACATTAAGGTGTCAACTAACACTTCACAAGCCAATGTCAGAGGGAGAAAATATACTGACCATTATAATCAAACTGTGTCTTAGTTTATTGAGAATAATACTGTGCACCCATCATGTGTTATTTCTAGGGTACTCCTTGCAAAGAGCAGCCCCAAACCTTTCCTCTTATAATTTAGAAACAATAAGTCAAATAAGTTGATTTTTTTTAAACACAAATTTTAAGAATCCTAAATATTAGGCTCCTACTTTTGATTCTGAATATAAAATTTCACTCATATTTAAATGTACATCTTTACCCAAGTTAACCATGACATGACATTTTAATATTTGTCAAGCAACATCTTTCCCCTTACATAATTAACTCAAATGCAATTAAAAAGTGACAGGGGCTCCTGGGTGGCACAAGTCAGTTAAGTGTCTGACTCTTGATTTTGGCTCAGGTCATGATTCAGGGTCATGAGACTGAGCCCTGCATCAGGCTGAGGAGTCTGCTTGAGATTCTCTCTCTCCATCTCCCTCTGCCCAGCCCCTCTGTGTGCTCTCTCTCTAAAATATATAAAATCTTTTTTTTAAATAAAGAAAATCTTAAAAAAAAGTGACAAAAAGAAAACACCAAATTCTATAAAGATAAATCTTACATGCATGTTATGAGATATATCTTATATTATTCAATGAGTCTAAAATAAATATAAAATAAAAATCACTCATTTGTCATGCACACATAAAAATGACAGAATAATTATTTAAAAGAATATGTGAGACTACATGAGTGTAAAAGGAGTAAGTCAAAAATAAGACAGATTAAGCCACCACTTGTCTGTAGGATTCTTTTTATTTTCATTTAAATACAAATAAACTTCAATATCTAAGAGTTTCCAATTCAAAGACACTCATGATGCAATACATATATAATTAGGTATAACATTATACATATGTATAACATATGTTATACATATACATATACATGTATTTCCCTTTGTGCTTCCATGGTGCAGAAAAATGGTTAGAAATGTACCATTTCTATGAAGTCAGCAATTTGCCTGGATCATACTTTCCTTGGTTTCAGGTAAGAAAATTATATGACCTGTTTTTTATTTTTATTTATTTACTTTTAGAGAGTGAGCGGGGGAGGGGTAGAGGGTGAGAATCTTTTTTTTTTTTAAAGATTTTTATTTATTTATTGAGAGAGAGAGAGAATGGTAGAGAGAGAGCATGAGAAGGAGGAAGGTCAGAGGGAGAAGCAGACTCCCCGCCGAGCAGGGAGCCCGACGCGGGACTCGATCCCAGGACTCCAGGATCATGACCTGAGCCGAAGGCAGTCACTTAACCAACTGAGCCACCCAGGCGCCCTAGAGGGTGAGAATCTGAAGTAGACTCCACGCCCAACATGGGGCTTGATCTCATGACCCTGAGATCATGACTTGAGCCGAAATCAAGTCAGATGCTTAACCAACTGAGTCACCCAGGCGCCCCTATGTTACCTAGTTTTAAAAGTCTTTCCTTGGGGTGCCTGGCTTCAGTTGGTAGAGCATGCAGCTCTTGATCTTGGGGTTGTGAGTTTAAGCCCCACAATGGGTATACAGATTACTTAAAAAAATAAAAATTAAATTTAAAAAAAAAAAAGGCTTTTCTTAACACTGAAGCTTGGTGTGAAGCAGAGCAGAGGCTGCACTGCCCCTCGTTTCTGGGCCCTTAGGGCAGTAAGCTACAGCTATCCCTCCAAAGGGCTGTTGAGAGAAAAAATTGGGCACCAAGTAGACTTTCAATAAATACTAGTTTCCTTCCCTCTCTCACCCCAGGCCACTTTGATTGTAAGGAAACATAGATTATAATGTCATTGATATTCATGAACAGATTATGTTGTTGTTTGAGATTTCAAATAAGTATAAAAATACCAAAACTGTGGGGCGCCTAGCTGGCTCAGTCAGTACAGCACGCGACTCTTCATCTCAGGGTTGTCTGAGTTAGAACCCCACACTGGTGTAGAGATGACTTAAAAAAATCTTTAAAAAAAAATACAAAAAGTGTGGGGGGGGGAAGCTAAGAGAGACAATAAAATAGCAAGAATTTTTTTTTTAAAACTGTATCGGGGCACCTGGGTGGCTCAGTTGGTTAAATATCCGACTCTCAATTTTGGTTCAGGTCATGATCTCAGGGTGGTGAAATCGAGTCCCACATCGGGCTCTGTGCTGGGCATGGAGTCTGCTTAAGATTCTCCCCCTCCCTCCCCCTCTGCTGCTCCCCCCTCCCCCGTGCGCATGTGTGCTCGCTTTCTCTCTCAAATAAATAAATAAAATCTTTTTTTTAAAAAGTCTATCAAGTACTTCATCTCACCAAACCAATTTAACATCCAAGTCAAATAAGCTGTGATACTGCCCATGTCTGCTAGGATTTTGACATGAACAGATACTGATAAATATACCGGGGCCCTGAAAGCAAAGGCAAACATCATAAAACAGCATCTCCCAAACCAGTGCACTCTGACAGAACCGGGTCTGGGGATTATAAATACCACCTCATCCATACACAGGTCTTCTTGACAGAACTTTTTGGAGCCTCTGTCAAAGTATACTAAGAAACTCCAAAATAGGATTTGGTATATTCCGTGGGACCATGGTTTGCACAAAGCTAGCAACAACTCTGAATGCAGCTTAGCAAACACTGCGGTGGGATACTCAACAGAGGACCCCGCAGAAGCAAAGCAGAGGAAACCCAGGACCAAAATTCAGTGTCCAGGCCGAAGGGAAGGGTGGGCATCTACTCACATCGTCCTGCTCTCTGAGAGGTGCGCCTCAGGTACCTCGAGAGGGCTGCTCAACACCTCCCACCCTGCAGTGGGCGCACAGGGCCACGCACCGCATCACAGGCCCCAAAGGAGAGGAGAAAGCCGCCTTATCATATAACTTACCATAGCAGCTCTCACAGGCTCGCCCTACGAGGGGATTCTGTGGCTGGAATGTGGTCCCCACGGCTCCATTCACAGCACCAGGTTTGCCATTGCTGGCAGATATTTGGTTGGGATTTGGTTTGCTGCTTTCAATGAAATATAAAGTGAGGTGATAAAAATGACTTGTATAACAAGGCAAAAGTCTATCTCTCTGCTGCTTTATCTTAACTACATATAAACATCTGAATGTTTGGTAAAGAAGAAATAAGCTGGTAAACGTAAGGTATTCAAATGAACTCAAACCATTCATCTGTACAAAACAAGGGTATGTAAAAACCAATCTCTTATGCCTGATACGCACAAAGTAAATATAGCCATTATTAGCTCTCCTCCACCTGAATACAATTTCCTTAGAACACCCTCTGCAGCTTTTTGAAAGATACAAGTTCCTAAGCTCTATTACTTACCATGAATTCTCCTGAGAATAAAAGATAATTTGGGAGGATCAAACAAATTAAGTTACAGCAGTGTGTTGTGTTTGAGAGAAACACTGCGCCATTCCTGCCGCTGGTGTGGAAGCTGTTGACAGGGCACTGGCTCTTGAGGGAATTGCACAAAAGCCACGTGTTCAACAAAGACACTGTGGATGTCAACAGAGCATACCTCTAGAATCTAAGTTGGCATTTCAGGGGATTTAACCGTTTATGATAATGAGTTCTAAGACGTCTGAATTTTTATGAGAAAGATTACACAGCACTTGAAATTAGAAAAGCCAACCAATGTATTTTGAGGTTTTTCTTTTTAAGAAGAAATTTTTAGGGCGCCTGGGTGGCTCAGTTGGTTAAGCGACTGCCTTCGGCTCAGGTCATGATCCTGGAGTCCTGGGATCGAGTCCCGCATCGGGCTCCCTGCTCGGCGGGGGGTCTGCTTCTCCCTCTGACCCTCTTCCCTCTCATGCTCTCTCTCATTCTCTCTCTCTCAAATAAATAAATAAAAAATCTTTTAAAAAAATGTTTGAAAAGAAAAGAAAAAATTTTTAGGAGGATGAGAAGGAGACATCTATCAAGTGTTTATATGCAATTTCCCAGAGGCCATAATTCCTTAGAAACAGGTAGCCTAGATTACCTTGGTACTAACTTGGTGCAAACATGGCTAACTCTTCCCCATGTGGGGTAAGCTAACTCCCCTGCTTATAAAGCCATGCCCTAGAATACTACACAGGTGCACATGACATGTTCTCAAATAAACTCAGAATTTATTAAACATATATTTATTCATTGCCTGACCTCAAGGAGCTTTCATTCTAGAGGAGCTTTCACGTCTATTTGCTAGACAGAAAACAAGCAAAATAAACTAGTCAACGATTTGTTAGCAATGAATGCTGAATGACTGAATGCAGACTATAACTCCCCACGGCTACTGAAGTGATGAGAGTTCACAACTACCAAGGCACTTGGAGTTTCAACACAGAGTTGGCTCAGGAGTTTCCTCTTTGCTGTTCCCTGTTGATCTTCAATTCCATTTACCAGTGAAAGCCTAATGTGTAAACTTGGCCTGACAGCAAATTAAGATTTCTTTCTGGCATTGTTACTGTAACTCTTAGGTGACACCTCACCACCACCCCCAGAAGATATCATTTAACCTCTGTGTGCAGTGAGGTCCCCATTTTGTAATAGGGCTATTATTTACACTTCTAACCTGTGCCAGCAATGTATTTTGAAGACAAATCATTTTTTAAAACACATTTTACACAAGACAGAATGCATTTCTTTTCTTAATAGTTTGCAGCTGAAAATGTACGTGATTAGAAGTGGTGACTTATAATGACTAAGATTTCCAAAGGTATGTAATAAATATTTCTGATTTTTAAGTATCTACTAGATACAGATAGGAAGGATGGCCCCCTTAAATCAAATGACTGAATCTCAGAAGGCTTCCCTCAAAATATGAAAACTTCTGACATTCAACCCAGGGCTAAATATTTATGTTGAAAAAGAGCTAATACAAATTTACAGGTGAGCTGCCTGAAAAAAGAATGAGAGCAAACACAACCTTCGTTGTTCAATTGAATTTTGCATGTTATTTGACTGAATAAACCACTGATCTTAATTATAATAATCATAAAAGGAAAACAAGTGTGCAAAGACTCAATGAAAGCAGACACGTGAATCACTTAAAATCCGTTTTGCAAATCTAAGTACCTACAGGTTAATTCTCAGGTGACAAATGATTTCAATGTGACCATCTGAATAAACTTTTACTCTAAGACAAACATAGAAAAAAAGTTTTTAAAGCTGCATTATATAAAACTGTCCTTTTAGCTAATGCCCAAACCTCTTCTCCCTCATCTGTATTCCAGATTCTACCCCTACTGCCCTCTTGAGAATTTTGTACATTTGATTCTCTTTCCTGGACCCTCTTCATTATCATGTAAACATATTTCTCCTACTTAAAAAACTCTATTATTCTTTTCCAACCTACCCCTCAAAGTGAAGAACTCCTTCGACTGACCTTTCCAGCCACTTTTGTTGAGAGCCGCCCATCTTGACTTTCTGCAGTTCTCTGGCTTATACGCAGTCCTCGACCACTACGTTAAAGACGACCAATGAATGACCTACTGCCATGCTGCTAAATTCTCAGGCTATTTTTCATCAACATCTGACATAATTAATTAATTAATCTCTTCCGCTCCTTGGAACACACTCCTCTCTCAGCTTTTGTGATAATGCACTCACCTTGCTATCCTACTTTTTCTGATACATAAATCCTGGATTTCCTCAACGTTGGCCCAAGACCCTTTTTTCTTATTGCTCCTCCTAAGAAAGCTCATCCATGGTTTCAAACACAATATTATATGCTGATGAAGCTCAAATTTGTATCTCTAGAGCAAAACTTTCCCCTGAACTTACGATCAATACATTCGACATCAGATTCAACACCTCTTTTTGGATAGAGCAAATTCAAAATGACCTAGCCTGCTTCTTCTCTGCCAGTTTCTTAGTTTGGTGAAGGGCACAACAATCCACCTAGCTGTGCTGGCCAGAAATCTGGGACTCTAGCTTGACATCTCCCCTCTACCCCTCTATACACGTTAATCACCTCCAAGTGGTGTCCCATTTCCAGGGCCACAGCTCCAGGTCAAGCTACTGTCACCTTTCTTCTCCAAGAACTTCATAATTGGGTCTCCTTACATCCACTATTACTCCTCTTCCCCAAACCATTTTCTAAAATAGAGCCAGTGATCTTAAAGCACCAATTTGATCATGACACGTCCTTGTTTAAAATCCATTTCCACTGTTCATCAGATGGGTACAATCCTGGCCCTGGCCTACCATGCCAGCCTCCCGCAGCTCAACACTCTCTTGACACCAGCTACCCTGCCTTTGTCTCAGCTCCTTAACTACTGTTCTGCCCCTTCCGGTATCAGGATTCCCTTGGCCTGGAAAGCCTCCATCACCTGGTTAATTCCTCTTCCTCCTCCAGAGTTCACTCAGACTCACTTCCACAAGGAATCTTTCCTGACAGCATCAACTGAGTCTGGTTTTCCTGTACAAATTCTCATAAAAACTATTCTGTTCTTCCCCATCACAGTACCTGTCACACTGGGTGACTGTTTGGCATCTGTCTCCCCCACGCTAGAATGTAGTCTGTCTTCTTAACCTTTCTACCTCTAGTACTGAACAGAGTGCTCTGCATATAGGAGACTGCTGGGCTCAAACGAATGACAGCATAAAATAATTCTTAATCTATTATTTGTTTCAAAATACTTGATTTCAGAGTTAATTGTGAAATTCTTCAAAGGACTCAGATTCTTATCCAACTCAAGGTAACCTCATACCTTCCATTTACGTAGAAGATTTATGTAACTTTTACATCATTCACTTAGGTCAGTTGGCATTGTAAATATTTTCAGCTCTGTGGCTATTACAATTTCTGGCACAACCTCTGAATGCTGCCATCGAAGCATGAAAGCACACATAAGTAATATATAAATGAATGAGGATGGCTGTGTTCCAACGACACTTCATTTACAACAACAGGCAGCAGGTCAGATTTGGCCTGCAGACCACAGTTTGCTGGTCTTTGACTTAGATCAAGACTCCAGTGAAGTCAACGCAAAACAGAACAGAAACAGTTCTCTGGGTCACTAGGTGCAAACTGGTCAGACGTTCTCCCCTCGATGTGACAGCGCTACAATGCACAAGAATGCTGCGGTGCTCGCTTCTAAAAACCTGACTTCTGAGTCGCCACACTGTCGTCTTCGGGGGGTTGCTCTCCTATAAATTACTCCAATAAAACAGAAAACGTTCTAAAATATTGGAAACCACTGCAGAAGGGACATTACAGCTCTGAATAAAAATTATGAATCCTGTAAATTACATGTTATCTGCCTTGAGATAAAAAAATGATTTAAAAATATCACAATTCATTGTCTACGAGGCCTCCTATATATAAATGTATTACTGTATCAAAATTCAGTGGACAAAAGCCTAGGTATAAAACAACTGTACTGAGTGAGAAAAATCCTGGAGCAGCACATAGAACTTCGTAGCAAATTCCATTTTAATCCCCATAGAACCTAGTATAGCACTATACACATGGTGCTCAATAAACTTAAGTTTTCCTGAACAAATGAACGATCTTGAAAGGCCTCAAAAAAGATTATAATTCATTTAAAATGTAGCAAATGAAAAGCAAACTGGCATTCATTTTGATATGACGATTTCTAAGCCCCCCAAATAATGATGAGAGAACACCAGACATGTGAAACAATTGATACCTATTCATTATTTATCCAACATTTACAAAGTATGGTTCTTCTTACTCTCTTTAACCATTCTGCCAAGCAAACAATGTAAAATCTGCAACCAAATAAACAACCTCAAAAGGGCAATGTGCACCACACCTCCCAAATCCATTCTATAACATAGAAGTTTCAAAAGCTGCTAGCTTTCTGAAACACATTTGCTTCAAATAATAGAGTCTCACAGGCTAGTTTCCGGATGCTTTCCCTGCACCTTTGATAGAAGGGTACCACGTGGCATCTTCCCTCTCACCCTTTTGTCTGTCTACATGGGGTTTCTCCCACCAGCCATTTTTCTTTCTAAAAAAAAAAATCACTGTAGTGGTATAATGGAAGCAAGTCTCGTGCTTTGTAGTGTCAGAAAATAAGATACGCAAAGAAATTCAAATCTGGCTGAAACTGACCAAAATGACATATTGTGTTTTCATAGAATTCATACTATGACAAATATTTAAAAAGATTTCTGTTACTTACTAAGTTGGGATATATACTTGTTTCAGTTTACTCTCGGCTTCCGCTGCTTTTAGACGTTTCTAATTCAAAAGATAGATGAAATATTTTACATACAATGCCTAATAATTATTACCACTTCACTGTCTTAAAAAATTCATAAGAAAATGAAATATTAAAACATCATTCAAAAATTGCCATTTTTAGCAAAGGCCTTTCTTTCATGTACATATTCTCAAACTGTGTTCATTTGTAAGACAAGTCACTAGATTATGAGGTACAGAACTGCAAGTTTTAATACCCTTTTAGACCTAGATTTTAAAAAGAAAGTAGCGAATAAGTCCATTTTCTACTGCTCCACCAGTGAATAAACAGGACTTAGAAATAACCATTTTTACTTTGCAAATTTAGTTTCTACTTTCTTTTTTGCTCTTCTGGAACACACACACACACACACTCTTTGCTTTAAAAAATATTTTTATCAGAAATGATGAGTTTCCAAGGTCCATGAGAAAGAAAGAGATAACAACTCCCCTAAGTACAATTAAATACGTATTTACCCTCAAGTGTTAAGAGATACGCAATAAACTTTAAAGCCTAGCTGAACTCACATCAGATTTCAGGAGCCAATTAGGAGCCAAATGTAGGAAAAGGAATAGGAAAAAGATTACCTAATCATATCCAGAAACTGATCAACACAGTAAATGAATACAAACAAGGAAGGAAAACAATATATGGTAGATATCCAAAAAGAAGACAAACCAGAATATAAGGCAGCCATCCATATTCTCAATGAGGAGAAAACAAAACATTTAAGAGGACAGCTTAAAACTTTTAGAGGGGCGGGGCGCCTGGGTGGCTCAGTCGTTAAGCGTCTGCCTTCAGCTCAGGTCATGATCCCAGGGTCCTGGGATCGAGCCCCACATCGGGCTCCCTGCTCCACGGGAAGCCTGCTTCTCCCTCTCCCACTCCCCCTGCTTGTGTTCCTTCTCTAGCTGCGTCTCTGTCAAATAAATAAAATCTTTAAAAAAAAAAAACAAAACTTTTAGAGGGGCGCCTGGGTGGCTCAGTCGGTTAAGCGTCTGCGTTTGGCTCAGGTCATGATCTCAGGGTCCCGGGACTGAGTCCCACATTGGGCTCCTTGCTCAGTGGGGAGCCTACTGTTCCCTCTCCCTCTGCTCGTGCATGTGGGTCTCGCTCTCACTTGCTCACTCTCTCACTCAAATAAAGAAAATCTTTAAAGAAAAAAAAACTTTCAGAGACAGAGTTGAAATATTTGGAAATAATTTTATCCAAAAACTACTTTTCGACCACCCATAATGCCATCATTTCCACCATCTTTAGGGACTTTTTTGGGTTTGAAAAACACAAGTTTCCAGAGTACATGGTCTTCACTTCTATGTTGTTTGAAATAAGCACTTTTGAATTCTACATGATGTTGACACTAGAAACTTTTCAATAAGCCATGGGTATGTGTTCACTATTCATGATCTCGACAACTCACTATGGTCATTTTAAAACTGATCCTTGGAGCGCCTGGGTGTCTCAGTTGGTTGAGTGCCCAACTCTTGGTTTCGGCTGAGGTTGTGATCTCAGGGTCGTGAGATCGAGCCCCAAGTCGGGCTCTGTGCAGGGCGTGGAGCCTGCTTGGGATACTCTCTCTCCCTCTGCAGCCCAACCCCCCCCCAACTTTCTCTCTCAAATAAATAAATAAATCTTTAAAAAAAATAAAAATAAAAAAATAGAAGTGACCCTTAAAATGTATTTTTATGGCACCCAACACTTGCCACTGTACGATCACATAACTTAGGGAAAATAATGTCTGTGTTAAATATATTTGCTCCTTTACCAGCTCTAAACTGTGACTAGACGAATATAAAGACAAGTATTAACTGAAGTCACTAAGGAAAAAGTACCTTTCCCCAAAAGTAATAGTACTCAAATAAAGTAAGTGAGAGAATTACCTCAAACTGGAACATTTAGGAAGGACTCAAAATTAAAGGATTCCCTGCTTTTAGAAATAATTCTGGAGAAAAATTTATGTACAGTACCAAAACATCAAATTAGTAATACTAACTACTATGGTTAAGGTCAAAGACTTAGAGGATACATATATGACACAAATGTCATCTAAGGAGGTTTCAGAAAATCTTTCAAAATATCTCAAACTGTATGGTTGATGGCATTGGTCTAAATTTCTAATAATCCATAAAAATAACTTTTTCACATCTTAGGTCATTCCACTTGACTACACTCACAAAGAGATGAAGCACCAAGCACCTGCAAGGAAAATAAGACCTCTCTAGTGGTATCTTTCCCTGTCGTCTTTTGAAAATATTTATCATAATGACTTCTGAAGTAAAGAAAATATTAGGACTAAAATCTTAATATCTTAAGGACATGAAATCATATAGTTTAAAATAGTACAGAAAATATAAAGCAAACAAATTTAAAATTAAGTATATTGCTAAGAAATATTAAGATATGAACAGAAAGCTCACTTCAGTGCAATTGTATTGATTGCAATATGAAGAAAATTACCTGCTGCACGTATCTGTCAGTAGTTTTCCACATGTAATAATATTCAATGATGCTAGTCAATGATTTCCAAGGGAGCTGAAAAAATATTTAATATGATAATGGAAAACAAGCTACTGTAGAAACTGCTTTCTTTTTAAAATCACTTTTTAAAAATAATGAGGCAAATATCCACATGGAAGATTCATTCTCGGAGAAGTATTTGAGAAAACTAAAATTAATTCTTAGCAAAACGTACCCCAAACAAGTTATATTCAGTCAGAGACTCTAATACAACACATTCCATTTCTCACCTCCCATTTTATTAAAGATTATAAACATTATGACTGATAATATTTCATGACCTATTCAGGAGAGTTATTCCTGGGCTGCAGGTGGGATTGAAGTACAATTTTTAGAAATGATATTTAAATAGATTTAGCCTAAGTTACTTCACACTCCCAAAGATGCAGCCACACCTGGTTGTCATTTGGTCTCTGGCATAAAGGTTCTCATCTCTATCAAAACTGCTTTATTTTGACCTATTTTGTAAATAAAATAAAAACCTAAATCTCTGGGAGACAGCGTAGCTGAGTGTGGCTTGTATTTGAGAAATAGGAAGCTTACCTTTGCTATTTTCCTATGACTCAAAACTGGCCAAATGAGCTCCTACTAACGAGACCCTCTGTAAAGGGAAATCTGTCAGTCATCCGAGATGTAAATCGGAACAGATCAAACCTTCAAACAAATGATGTGATAGTCACAATCTTAGCTGTTGCGCCAGATGTTACGGATAGGTGACTCAGTGCTCTCTCCGACTCCTAGCTAGCTTGCCCTAATGCACCATGGGGATCGGGGAGTCACAACAGTACTTCCCACGCCGCCCTGCAGCAAGGGGTCTGCTTGAAACCCACGGGTACAATATCCACACCATTCTTATCACTTCCACGTTTCACTCACCTGTTTGCTCTGAAGAGAAAACAGACGGAGTTTTGAGAAAGGACATTATTTTCAGCTTAACGGGGTGGAAACTGCAACAGCAGTTACAAATGTGGCCTCCTTAAAGGACCAAATCACACAGCCCCTGGTGTCTGCACTGCAGCTAAGGCAAATACTGTTTTCTATGACCCAACGGGCAATCTAACAGAGCTGAAAGTGTCTGAGGGATGGTGTAAGGAGCCCACCGCAAGACCTCACAGGGGAAGACCTCAGAGGACAGTCACAGGCACAGTCCCTCAGTGCTTCAAGCAAGCTAAGATCTCTTCGTCCCCCCACTAGTCTTCTGAGAAACAGCCCCGGTGTGCAATTACCTGGAAGGCTGAGAAAAGGAAACCAGGTGACTATGGAACCTGAGCTTCATCATCAGCCAGATTTTATGTAAGCCATAAAGTCCTACTCAGCTGTGCTCAGAACACCGCGATCTCAAGAAGTACACATCTTGAAAGTACAAGTTAACACATCCCAGTGTGTCTACTCCTGTTGCAGTATCATTTCTCCCTCAACCCTCATGGCTTCATAGGAGTTCCCTAGGACATGGCAAGTGAGGAGGAAAAAATCTGAATGTGGCTGATGGCTTTGCATGATATACTGGCACTGACCAGAATTCTACTGCTGCAGCATCTCAGCCCCAAGCAGGAGTGGCTCTGAAGCACAGTGAAGAAGGGAAATCCTTTGGAAGGGCAGGACATTAGTCACCATTGGGTTTTCTACTTTGAGTTGAAGGAAAGCTGGCCAGAGGTACTCATCCATACCCACTCGCAGAGAGTGGTTATATACCTGTCACAATGATCGGGGACTTGAAAGGAATTAGATTAGAAGGTTGGTAACAATAAGGCTTAGGAAACAGGTTTGTGGGACGGATACCCCTGGATGGGCCCAAGTGTGAGGATATTTGTGTCTCCATGCTTATCAAAGGCTCCCTCTGTAGAGGAGGTTCTCATTAATATCAGGAGGACAAGATGATCTCCTCTAGGGCTTTCAGCCAGCCTCCTTCCCTAGCCAGAACAATGACTGCTCAAAGGACATATAACAAAATGGACACAGAGGCAAGCAGACAGAGATTACACATGGGTACCACCACACGGATGTCCTCTCACCAAATCTGATCTGATTACTCCAGGTGTCCAATCTGCAAGGAACAGAGTACACTGGGCTTCCAACATGGCACCATTCCTGGTAACATGTCAGTTACATTAGACTCTCAGCATCCTGGAATGAACAGACATCTTGTCCTTGTTGAATAGACAATTATTCTAAATATGACTAACCTTTTCTGCCTATAATGCATTGACCAGCAATACCAACCACAGACTTATGAATGACGTGTTCTCACAGAACACTGCTTCTAACCCAGGGCTCAGAACCCTTAGGAATAAAGGTTTGGGTCACCCGACCAGGTTAAGAACATTGGTCATCTAAGGGACTAAGGGGAGAACAGTGGAGGAATTTGATTTTGAATGCCAATGAAGACCTCAGGATGAGTTTCAGAAACAGAGAAAAGAAGACTAAAGAAGCTATATTTCCTTCCTTGCTTGGTATAATGGTTTTCCTTCAGCAGCCCAATTCCCTTTCTATTTTTATATAAGGTCTGTCAGGTAGTTTTACCTTTATAATTGAATGCAGAAGTTACAAGCAATAAAGACAGGGTTGTGACTAAAACCAGAGGAGGAATAAACCAGAGAAAGTTGCTGTGACATTAAATTTGAGGAAAAGATACCACATTTTCTAACGATTCAGGGATAATTACAATTGTTTAAAAGTTGATCTATGGAAAGGAAGCATGTACAGAAGGTAAGGATGATGCTGAGTTACCAAAGAGGTGGGTGATGACAGATCCTATATACCCACTTCCAATCCACTTCTAGCTTACCTTCCTAAAAGCTCTAAACTACATTTTCCCCAGATACCCTGGACCAAGGATACAGACATATGGGCCACGTTTAGGCAAGCTGACAAGATGACATCCAGATAGAGAAGTGAGCAACATTAAGGATGAGGCCGCATGCAGGGAGAATGAATTATTTGGCAAGAATGATGGTTGAGGGGCACGTGGGTGGCTCAGTCAGTTGAATGTCCGACTCTTGATTTTGGTTCAGGTCATGATCTCAGAGTCCTGGGATCAAGCCCTGCATCGGGTTCCGTACTCAGTGGGGAGTCTGCTTGAGGATTCTCTCCCTCTCCCTCTGCCCTGCCCCCTGCTCTCTTTCTCTCTCTCTCTCTTAAAATAACTAAATAAATCTTTAAAAAAAAAAAAAAGGAATGATGGTTGAAATATCATGTTCTTCTGGGGCATCTGTGTTGACCTTTCTGCCATCCACACTTAACATCACGGATGCCAAGCAGCAGAGGGCATGTTCCACTCTTCCTGGAAGTGTAGTGTCCAACCCTGGTTCTCTAGTCTTCCCAGAGATTCTGTGAGAACTTAATATCCTATATTCATTTCTGATTAAATTAGATATAGTGAATTTTGTACTTAGCAACTAAGAACCCTGACTAATATAACTAATACATTTACTCTTTATACTAAACTGGGTGAGGTTGAGTTTCTCTTATCCATAATCAAAAGCACTCTAGCTTGTACAAAGGTAGGAAGTGTTCAAAGAATAGCCCTAGACATGTGGCATTTATTTTTCTTTTGTTTTATTTATTTAAGTAATCTCCACATCCAACATGGGGCTCGAACTCATGACCCTGAGATCAAGAGTTGCATGCTCTTCTGATTGAGCCAGCCAGGTGCCCCAATGTGTGGCATTTATTTTTTTTTTTTTAAGATTTTGTTTATTTATTTGAGAGAGAGAGAATGAGAGACAGAGAGCACGAGAGGGAAGAGGGTCAGAGGGAGAAGCAGACTCCCCGCCGAGCAGGGAGTCCGATGCAGGACTCGATCCCGGGACTCCAGGATCATGACCTGAGCCGAAGGCAGTCGCTCAACCAACTGAGCCACCCAGGCGCCCTGTGTGGCATTTATTGATAGAATCAAGTTGGAGCAGAAATCAAGCAAGCCTGGTGGTAGAGGCAATATATGCAATGGAGTTTCTGCTAGGATGTTGCCATTGCAGGGTTAGTTAGTTAGTTCTTGGCTTCAAAAGTCTTGGCTGTGAAGCATGTAAACTTGGAACCTGGCCCACCTGGAGGTTCTGTTAGCCCGTAACACACCCTGTAATCAATCTCTCTCTCCTTAAACTAGCTCACTCAAATGGATTCTGTTGTTTCCAATTATGGCTTTCCAACTACCTTCAAGTTTACTTTCCTATCCTGGAAGGCTAGAATGGAAATACTGTATTTCTGAGGCTCCCTTGTGATTTATTTCTTCCAAACAGATGTAGAAGACCTACATTCAGAAGTGAATTAAGCAGGATAGAGGGAACGGTGCACAGGTATCTCTGTTCAGCTGCAGCAGAGCTAAGAGGCATAAGATTGTTCTAGAGCTGTCAGCTCCACTAGAGGATTCCTAATCCCAAGACCATGTTTAAAGTAGTGTAGTCTTGGAACAGAGGTTAACCCAGCAGGCTCCCACTTCCCAGGTAGGGCAGAGGTAGGAACTCCCCTGCTGGACCATTCCTGTGGAATGTTCTGATGTCTATCCTGGAGCCTACTTCTCCAACCCTACCAATTATCCAAAATTATATAGCATATAATAAATATATAATATTTATAACTACAAAAAGTAATTATCCAAATGAAATCCAATTCTGTTTAAAATAGCTTATATAATTTAGTTATCTGCAATTGAAGCTTAAGTGATAAAACAGCTAGGAAATATCCTCTGCTGAAAGGAGTTTCTATAGCAAGAGACCTAAATGCATAAGGAACACAGACTTTACTATTCTGCACTTTGAATTTATCAGGTTCCTTTGCATATTTCAGGTCCTGCTTCTCCTTAGGACATAAAATCCACAAAAGAATGTCATTCCCACCCTAGAAGTGAGAAGAAAAAAAAAACAAAACAGATAATCTACAAAACCACACCAATTCTTGAGCCCATCATAGAGCCAAAGTTACAAGACAACTGAACTGAACTCCAAAGTCACTGAGTAAAGACTAGACTCAAACTATTTTTACTTTGGAAAAGCACAAAACAAAACAAAACAAGAGAGAGA